TATTGTATACAGGGATGTGCTATCTTGTATAAATTGTACAAACCAAGACGGTAAAATTAAACAGTAAGTTAACCAACTGGTGAATACACTGTTCGATAACTCAAGGGGGGACACCTATATGCTAAGCCACCCATTCTACACGGTTTGAAACAAAGTATATGTGAAAGCAACATAGTAAGGTAACCAACTGGCGAATTGGCGTTGTTCGTTACTTCCGTTGGTCATCACCTCTATACTCGTCGAAATCTTTACCTAAGAGGGTACAACCTGTGTATATCTAGAATAGAATCAAATCAATATGAACACAGTAGTTAACCAACTGGCGAATTGGCGCTGTTTGTTAACTCCGTTGGTCATGAACCCAAATAAGAATATAAACATCAACACAGTAGCTAACCAACTGGCGAATTGACGCTGTTCGTTAACTCCGTTGGTCATCAACCTAAATAAAATATATGTTGATAGCAAATAAAAGTGGTCTGCGTTTGAACAGGACTCAAGTGAGATCTCAGTAAATAGTACCAATTGTAATATACTTTGCTAATTATTGCATCACATTTAAAGTATGAAAAATAAAAGAGTTTAAATATAAACTTGTCTGGTTTTATTTATCAATTTGCACCAAACTTTGTATCTAATCCTGGTTTACCTTAATTAATATTATCACAACGTGGGTATATAAATTATCAATTAATTTGAGGAAAAATGCCAAATACAGTAATTATAACTTAAATTAAATAAACTTGTGAGGTAAATAATAACATCTCAGAGATTAAAATAACGATTAAATGGGGTACCGGGGGTGGGCCGTTACAGTGGTGTACCTATTTTTTGTTAAAAATTATTAAAGCGAACGTTAGCGCACGCGCTCATGGTTATTTACATATTTTTATTGCTAAAATGTATACGTTTTTAGGTCCATTGTATAACAAAAATTTAATTTAAATCGTTAAAGCCATTTAGGAAATATTTTGAAAAACCGAACAAAATTTTGAAGCAAAGCTTCTGCAGACCCATGTTGATAGACTATTTTTGTTTTATTTTTGGGTAATAAAATCCCCCATGTTCTTTGAAACACTTTATATATTTTTAAAAATCCACCCTGTATCTTGAAACCTGACCGAGATGAAATATAAATAAATACTGATATGGAATGGTTATCGATCTTCTTAATAGTTTCATAACTTTCCGTTAACAATAGCCCGAAGGCGGTCATTATATATGATTCCATTCCAAGGAAATTACCTGACGTAAGAGTCTTCTACCTGCTTGTTGTTTTTTTATTAACTTAACCCTTCATTTTAACGGTCTGTTTTGTCTCCACGTGTACCCACCTATTAAGAATACTTTTTTTATTTATTGGGCTAACAATAGACGCATTTTTGACGAGACAAAATCTGAGAATTGAGAATAGAAGATATATGTTTTATCTATTCTGGTATCAGTCATTTATTTATATAAAAATTGATGAGTAAACAAGAACTGGCAAAATTCTAATGTAGATATATTTCAATTTCAAAGAAAAAAAAACGTTATAATTTCAAGAAAAAAAAATAGTTTCGTTATTAGTTAAAAAACCAACAATTCCATAGTTGAAAATTTTCCATGCATCTTTTTCCTGTTCTTTTGAAAAGGAAGAAATCGTAATGTTCCCGTAATGCTTTTGATATCTTTAAAAATATTACTTTTTAACATTACCATTCGTATATGAATATGTATCATCTTTTTAATAATTGTATATTATTTTGACCCTCATATCTTTTGTCCTTTGATATTTTAATACGAGAGAGTTAATACTGAGTAAATAATTTTTATTTAAAATTGTATTTTGTTAAGATATGTACATTTTATCACTAGTTTAATAATTTAACAATAGCATTTATTTATTTAACACTAAAAAAACAATATGAGAAGCGTAACAAATCTTGAATGTTAACTTTTGCTTTTGATAAAAATCAACAAAGGGTGTTAGATTAACTATATAAAAATTTTTAAACGATCTGTGTAGAGAAAACTAAACATTCCGCAAATAAAAGAATCAAAAACTTTCTAATTTTAAAATTCAATTGATTGCTGTACTTTTACCAACGCTATAGTTGTGTCTATTTGCTCCAAATTTTTGATTGGGTAGCAATTCATTGTCTAGACATAATTATCTAGGTTTTGAAATTTTAAAAATCATTAGCTAGTTTAGTAAAAGAATGTTTGTACCGGATGGCCCAATAAGAATAGCTTTCGGGCATATCTCAAGAATCATCTATAGCAGCGTTACTCAAAGTGTGTTCCGCGGAGCCCTGGGGCTCCGCAAAGCCTTTGTGGGGGCTCCGCGAAGAAAATAATAGTCATAATAAAAAAAGAAACAGTACTATCGCCACAAAAGGGAGGGACTTGGCTTGAGGACTTTTTTTAAGAAATCACTAAGAGGAAGGAGGATATGATTTGTTTTTTAGAAATGTGTTTAGAAAATCGATCGCTAACTGAATACCAAATAGTAAAATGCTTATTTTCTATAATTTCCCAAGTTAAGATCTTTTAAAAATATGATAGTTGGAATTTCCAAAAAATTTTGCATAATTTTGCCCAGAATAATGTTCTTCTATCTTGTATATCTGGTCATGCGAAGGGGAAGTGGGAACCGTGATTAGAACAAATGCTTAACCGAGGTCCTGTCCTGTTTATGCGAATTTTGCAAATTTGGTTTTGTGACAACAGCTCTTCTTCACAATGTAATATTTATAAATTAGAACCAATCTAATTAGCAACTTACATGATACAGGGCGCTTTTTAAATTATATTAGATACATGTAGTTTTTTCTTGGAAATATTAAATGGAAGTATGCATTTTTTACCACGGATTGAAGGAGGAGACTAAATTACCAGAAATTCAGCAAAAATCGGGTATCAATATCTTTTCATCTCTGGAGAAATATTAACAAATTTATATAAGGCATATTTCTTTAAATATCGATTACTCTGGTTCAACTGAACGGAATTTAACAATCTATTTGTTAAGGAAATTTAAATAAATACATTTCGCGGTTTTAGAGAAAAGACAATTATGTGGAACTTTTTATTATTGTTTACACCATAAAATAATGAATTAAAGGCTTAACATTCTAGGGAAAACCGTTGTCTAATGGTAGATATTATCAATTGTAAAAATTAATGATTACTAGAACTGCGGAATGAAATTTTACAACATTTAAAAACAAGTAGTGGACCATAGAAATGCAATAAAATAAACATGTGTTAAATTTATTAAACCTGCTGTCATGATTTTGTGCTTTTATGTTCTCATTCCGATTTGTTAGTACTTGAGTTCAAAATATTTATTGGTAACTAGCGGACCCGACAGACGTTGTCCTGTTTTAACTATGAATATTGATTTCGAATTGGTATAATTAACTAAAAAATATTTCAAAAACAAAGTGTTTAATATTCTAATGCAAGCACAACAAAAAAAGAATTAGCGAAATCGGTCCAGCCGTTCACGCCTGATGCCGTGACCAAGGGAAATAGGGATTCATTTTTATATATATAGAAATTTTCGAATTTTCCGCTCAATTTTCTTAATTTTTTCTATCATAAGAACCTTCTCCTGATAATAACAAACACAACAAAAAAAGAATTAGCGAAATCGGTCCAGCCGTTCACGCGTGATGGCGTGACCAAGGGAAATAGGGATTCATTTATATATATAGAAATTTTCTAATTTTCCGCGCAATTTTCTTAATTTTTTCTTTCATAAGAACCTTCTCCTGACAATAACAAACACAACAAAAAAAGGATTAGCGAAATCGGTCCAGCCGTTTACGCGTGATGCCGTGACCAAGGGAAATAGGGATTCATTTTTATATATATAGAAATTTTCAAATTTTCCGCGCAATTTTCTTAATTTTTTCTTTCATAAGAACCTTCTCCTGACAATAACAAACACAACAAAAAAGAATTAGCGAAATCGGTCCAGCCATTCACGCGTGATGCCGTGACCAAGGAAATAGGGATTAATTTTTATATATATAGAAATTTTCGAATTTTCCGCGCAATTTTCTTAATTTTTTCTTTCATAAGAACCTTCTCCTGATAATAACAAACACAACAAAAAAATAATTAGCGAAATCCGTGATGAAAACTGAATACTTCCATTAATAATCTCAAGAAAAAAAATTTTTATCAGCGCATACACGTGTTACCCATTAAATGACGGGCGAAAATCAGTTTTTAAATTTTGAATAAAATATAAACAAGGATTTTCAGTATTTAAAAATTTATAATTATAAAACTATGGTTCAACAGATTTCGAGCCTATTTTGTAAGATATAATTACCTTAAATGAATGCTTTTAAAGTTTGTCTTTTTTATAATAAAGGTTTGAACTTGAGATATGGCCAAAAGCCATTCATATTGGGCCGCCGGGTACAGCTCTATCAAAATTATAGGTGAAATGTATTTTTAAATTTTGAAATAAAGTTTTGCGTTAAATTTCCGAATGTTTTTAGACAAATATACGGCATTTAAAAGTAATATTTTGATTTGGTTTGTGAAGAATTATAGTTTACAATAATCGCAATATTGTTTTAAAAAGTTAACTTATTGGTGTTAAACATAAGCAGCGCGTTTAAGAAACGTTGTCTTTAAAGTCACCCGGAAGTGCGTAATTTTTTTTTTTTAACTATCTATATGAAAACTTATACCAAAGTGAAATTAAATGAAGAAAATTGATTCTACGGATCAAGACTTAAACTGTCATTGGTGTATCCAAATAGTCGATGAGTCGAATAGTTTTAGAAATATCATTTTGGAAAAGTTAAAAACGTCTCAAGTCACTTTATGGAACATTGTTAATGAACCACCTTGTATTTTTAAATTTATAATTTTAAAAACATGGTTCAATATATTTCGCGCTCCTTTTGAAATATATAATCACCTTAAATGAACGGTTTTAAAGTTCGCAGTTTTAAAAAAATATTTCGTATTTTCTATTAATTGTTTGAACTTACTTTTATTTCTTTTTACAATAGCAGCGTTAATCGGCTTAAGAGCGACTTCATCAGGTTTGGTGGTCGCGATATCGGCCGATTTTTCATTTTTAGCCAAGAGAGGCTCTCCGGCCTCGGCATTGGCGATGAGATCAGGTTCGTTGGGCATTTTTACAATTTCAAATCAGCAATGAAGAACTCGAGGAACATCCATAAAGAAGTTCAATGTACACACACCATCGACACTCAACACACGTGGTGGTTAACTACACACTGCAAACAGCTGATTGTGTTTTACAAAAGAAATATATCATTGTCACTGTTGGTGCTGTGCTGGTGCTGGGGGAGTGAAGGCTGAAGGCCCTTGAATTGAAAAGCTGCTTTTGTTGATAAACGCAAAACGTAACTAGAAATCGCGGTCTATACACATTATTTGTTGATGCATTGTTTCGATATAACAAAACAGCTGTCCGTCGAACTTTTATATTATATAAAAATATCACTCGCGCATCAACATTTACCATCTACTGCATCTACACAAACGAAGGCCACAATCGGAAATTGTTTTCAACTCTGTATGTAATAATTATTATATTGTCATTCAACTGCCGAAGTTAAACTCCAACTAATCTCGTTTGTTGATTCAGTTTTCATTTTCATTCATTATAAATTATTTATCAAGTTTTACTGTTGTGTTGGAATGTCGTGTTTTAAATCACAAATCATTCTTATCGCTTGGCATTTACATAACTTCAACTAACTTTCGTCCATCCGACGATAATGTCTGTTGTTTATTTCAGGGACATATTTAAGGGCTCTTCACTGTCCGATGAGCTGTATCCTATTATTACCATAATCAGGGTTCGTGCTCTTGAGAAGAAAATAAAATAGAAAAATAAATAACGAAGCCATATTTCACATAATAAGAGCGACCGTTCCCTCCGCAAAACAACTTCTTTAGCTAATACAGTCGATACGCATTGCATTATAACCAAAGAAAAACAGCAGTTTAGTTTTGATTTATTTGCTCACGAATTTTAGACACGGATGCGTACTAATACGCCTTTGGTGAGTGTGGAGACCTTTTCTCTAAAAATTTCGAAATTTTGACTCACCGTGATTTTTTATTTAATTTTTTAGGGATAATTTTTGGGGCGAAAATTGGGGTAACTTTGAGGGTAATTTTTGCTTATTATTCAATCCTGTTGTGATATTAGCTAAAGGACTAGTTTTCCGGTAGAAAAGGGTCTCTCGAATTATGTGACATGGATTCGAGATTTATTTTTCTATTTTATTTTACCTTTTGATCACATTTGAGTTAAAATTATTCCCTTGCAACTCATGATAGCTTAGTAAAATGCGTATTCGTAAGTTTTTACTGAGGCCCTTCCTATGGTGCCTCAGTATTGCATTCGTGCAGACGAAAAAATTTTCTTACCCCCATTTTTTAAATGTCCGAAAATGCAAAAAAAAATTTTCGTCTGGTCGTCTGTATGTATGCCGGCACGATAACTCTAGAACGAAAGTTCTGATTGACTTGCGGTTTTGATTTTCTTAAATAATTACTTCTAACTTAGAACCCTATTGATTTTCAGAATTTTCGGTTCATCCTATTTTATAATCAATTTTCTTAAAATCAGCATATGCATTTCTTATGTTACAATTTTAGGAATTTCAATTATTTCTAAGTCAACATTCCTAACATTCTTAAAATTCCATAAATTCCAAACATTCTCTAACGACCTGTCAAACAATAGCTGTTGATAGTAAGGGTGAAATTTCTAAAGCGGGTTGCGACCTTCAAACTTGCAATCATAGCCATTTTGGAGGCTATTTTTATTCGAAATTAGTAGCCAAGCCTGCCAATTTATGAAAAATATATAAGCAATTTCTTAAAAATGACTTTTTTATGGTGGTGCTAACTTAAGCGTACTACTATTTCGTCCCTAGCCACAAAAACATCTTCATCAAATTTATTGGCTCTCTGCCGCAACCCCATAGAATAATTAACCAGCCATTTTATTTGGCAAAAATCAGAATAATACTTGGCTGTGCCTGTCAAGTATCAAGATGTCAACTGTGATGTGTGAATGGCTCTTAAATGTCAAATTATTTAAAAATGTATACTTTTTATATTTATTGCAAATAATTTGTAGTATATCTCAATTCAGGCTTTCCATAAAGGTACAGCAAGATAGATAATATAATGTTCTTATACAAAGGTAGGATATAATGCTGGTTTTTTTGTAGAAAATTTTTATTATACGATTTTGGATTACATATTCAACCAGCGAATTGTAAATAATAATTAGTAAACTTCTAGTCATAAATTTCCTTAATAAATAAAATTTAAAAATGAATCTTCTTACCTTGGTACCGAGGTATTTTGTTGTGTTTTTTATTTTAATTATAAAGTTGTCATTTATTTGTATGTTGAAAGAAGGCCTTTGTAAATTACATTGCTCTCTATGGATCTACTTTAACACAAAAATAGTTTTGTGGCTATAAGTTGCTATAACCTATCGTCGCAAAACTATTAATAATTTAAACATAGTAAGTAGTATTATTATAACATCAAGTAATTTTTTAAAATAAAGTATCTACATGATCTCAAAATAGAAATAATTTATAATAAATGCGGGTAAAACGAGGGGTAAAATAACAATAAATTAAGGGAAATACTTAAAAAGGGCAGGTTTAAAGAGTATTATCACAAGAAAGTATATCCGTTCTGTTTATTTATCAAGTATTGTTTGAGGTTACTTTGGAATACATTTATTATTTTTTTTTTAATTTCTGTATGCAGTCTATTAAATTTTTTAAACCTTTAATAAAAATTGTATTTTGGGAACTTTTAGTGATGGCTTGCCATACATGAAAGTCAGATTGACTTCTTGTATTTTAGTTGTGATATTTCGAATTATATTGAATTTTTTCTAATAGATCTGATTAATGTCATTTTTATTTTATAAATAAATATCAGTCATGTACTGAACATAATTCTGTACTGGAAGCCAATCTATTTCTTTTAACATAGTTGCAATACAATTTTTACCTAACTTATCTAGGGATGAAAAACTTCATAAACTAAGATTCTACTCACTATATAGTGTACTTTAGAGTCTAATTATTTAGTTACACTACCTTTAACGTATAACACTTAACCACACTATACTCTGTTTTAATCTAACATCACTGAACTAACTCAAAAGGCCTGGTTCTCTTCTTATTAGATTGGCATTGTTAAGGAGCTGGATAATCTCAAGGTTTTCATGTTGGAGTAGTCGTTGTTGGTGACTACTAGCAAATTTTTGAATTGTATTTTCAACAGTCTCCACTTTAAGGTCCCTATGAAGATCAGTATTACGGCAGTACCAGGATGCATCGACGATGTTCCTTAATACTTTATCCTGGAAACGTTGAATAACTTGGATGTAATTTTTACTGACACAGCGCCAAAGCTGGCAAATTGCTTCATTTCCACCAATTCCTTTAAATGCACTAATTTGAAATAAAATATAGGTAATTAAAAAGGATTTACACAAATTATTTGATTAACATTAGTTTAATATTGTTTTAAATTAACTATAATAAAACAATACTCATGTCTAAACAAAACAAAATATGAAAATCCACCTAAGCAAGCATTATTTATGTAGTTCTCACCTTAATTTCTAAAAACATATTCTGCTTCCCATATAACGCATGAATATCAAAAACCAACAACTCAAATCTATAATTATTTAGAATATAGGCTTGTTTCTAGCTGGTGGCTGGACAGGGACGTGATGAAATAAAAACTAAAATAACTACATATCCTATCTTCTTCTTACAAATCAGAAATTCGTCATTAATTGTTGACCTCTTACAACATAACCCGTTTATTAACCTTTTACGTAACATGTATACCATGTTTCAGAAACATTTGCAGTGAAATATTTAACTAAAATATTTCAGAAATATTTCAGAAATTTGTACTTGAAATGTTATATGTTTGAAACGTTTGAAATATTTCTGAAATAATGTGCGCTGTATCACTCCACTTTCTTCCTCTCTACATTTTACTGTCTGCATGTCTTCATTCAATTCTCGATGATTTTATAAAGCTATCCCAAATATTTATCATATTGTACCATCGAAAAGACTAATTATATTATTTAGAAAACATTTTGATCGGTGTCGTATATACGGACCATTTTTTTAAATTTACTTGCCCACTAGTAAAATAGATAAGAATTCTTTTTATATGAGTATATAAGAAATTATAAACTAACATATCTAATTTTTTTAATTACAATTTTATTAATATTTAAAAATATAAACTTTAAAAAACAACAAACAAATGACCACGTGGTAAAAGATTAAAACACTTTTCGTGACTCTGTACGTTAGCGTTTCTTTTTTCGAAAAGTTTTACATAATAATGACGTATACATCATATATTATTTCTAGTCAAAATAACCAAAATATTTCGTCAAAAAAATTATTAATCTAATTTCATCATAAAAAAATTTAAAATAATAAAATCTTATTCCTTGCTAAAAATATTAACCACCTGGCAAATTTGACAACAATTTAAAAAGAAGTTGTTAAGATATTACCAAAAAGCGAAAACATTATTTCAAATTTGACTTTTTAATTTCTAAATTTTATTGAAACAAGTTATCAGATCGTAATATTTCGAAGCCAAATTTACACTTACGCTTTTTAAGCCATTAATTACGGGCCCACTCTGAATTTATTTGATATGTGATCATATATAATATGTAGGATACTGTAACGGCCCACTCCCCGTACCTCATTTTGTTCGTTGTTTTACTCTCTAAAATGTTATTATTTACCTCACAACTTTATTTTATTTTAAGTTCTATACTTACTGTATTTGACCTTTTTTACATAAATCTTTTGAATCACCATTGAAAATACAGACATTAGATTATGTACTAATTTCATTTAGCGTTGTGACGACGTCGATTTAGGTACGTCTAAGCGTTGAGCGTCGCCTTGCGTCGAGGCGCCTAGCGTCGTGGTGGAGAGGAAGGTATTTAATACGGTACTGCATAGGGACCGATATATGGTAGAAATATTTAGGCGGTGCGGCACGTGACGAAGGGTGTCGACAAGGATATTATGAAAAAATATTTAGGGACGGCAAGCGTCGGGAAATAAGGCGTGGGACGTTGCCAGCGTTCGGGGGAAAGGAGACATTGTAGGATAGAGGTTGTTTTAGGAAGAGCGTTTTAGGAAAGGTACTGACCACTGAACTTGAAATATAACTGGATACAAATAATAAAATGAATGTTTGCACATCAAATAATAAAAATGAATGCCTCCGAGCTCATTTGGTTTCGGGTTCTTATACTAGTTTTAATGGCTTTTTGTGACGTCAGTGTCTTAATTGCCAGTGGGAAAAACGAATCTAGGTGCCTTGAAAGTTTTGTGTATCGAAAACAACGTTACTATTGAAACGCACTTAAGATAAGTGCGTTAAGTGTTCCTTGGGCTGGTTCTTTTAAGGACACATGGTTATAGATATTCTTTATTAGGTGTCGTTAATAAGATTTAATTATCTGAGAGACTTTTTGTTAAATGAAGGATTTTCAATTTAATAAGAATGCAATATTATATTTAATAAATGGAATTAATAAATTATTAAGGTACCTGGGTGCGGTAGGTTACAATACTGGCGAACCAATGTTAACGCGACACAGTAATACAGAGGTGATGTG